GGCGGGAGGAGGCTGAAGCTCCGGGGATGCTCTCCCCACCCCACGCCCTGTTGCTTTCTGGGTTTCATGTTTTACTGTGTCTCCACAACCCATTGTGCCCCCAGACCTATTTCTGGGGTCCGAGGGGGACGGCTGTGCGCTATTGCTGAACAAGGAAGGTAGCTGTAGGTACTACTCCTGCTGGCTGCGAGGATTTTGTACTCGTACTCCATTTCCTACGGCCTTTCCTGGGCACTTGCGTGATTGCTCCTCGGTATTTTTATGACTGTCGTCTGCTCCTCGCGTGCTGCGTGCTGCGTGGCTCGGATCTGGAGCAAAGCCCGGGTTGTGTAGGACAGCTTCTGTCCCAGAGCAGTGCAATGGCAGTCAGCTGCTCTCTGTGCCTGTAGGGACTTCAGCGAAGGTAGCAGGTAAAAGGAGGCAAGCAGGGACTTTTTCAATGTTGTATGTTAAAATTGCAAAAAAAAAGAGCAAAGCCCAGCAAAAACCCTCTGCAGCTGGTGAGTGACGCGCTCTCTGCTCTCAGGTCTGAGAAGACAAGCCGCTGTCACCATCAGCCAGGAGTTGAGCAAGCTCGCCTGCCACGGCACGGGACCCAGCACGTGGATTAACCAGGTTCGCAGAAGAAGCTCCTTGCTCAGTAAGTGACCAGCAGATGGGGGGGTCTGGCCCTTTCTGCCGGGTGGTGACCGTCACTGTCAGGGCTCGGGAGAGTGGTTGGAGGAAAACCTGCTCCTGGGGCGCCTGGGCTTTTGCTAAACAAACGGCAAAGGCAGGCAAGCAGTGGGAATTGAGTTTACTTCCCCAGCCCCTGGGCACAGAGAAGTGTATTTGATGTAGATAAAGCTTATCTGGTATTAGGATGTGTTAGTCAACTGTGCGATGTTCTTACAGTCACGCCTGCTTTTGTCTGATCCCATGCAGGCTCCAGGCTGGAGGAGAAGCCCTTCAGTGAGATGGAAATGTCTTACATCAAGCAAGGAGAGGAAGCCCTCCAGAAATCGCTCAGCATCCTCGGGGACCAGGACGGCTGGAAGACAGAGACGATGGTGGTAGGTGCTCTGCTTTGCCGCAAAATGACAGGGCCCTCCTGTAAATATTTGTGATGTTAATTCTGCCTACCCCTCTCCCAGGATAATGGAGACAAAGTGCTGAGCAAGGTGCTCCCGGACGTGGGCAAGGTGTTCCGACTCGAGGTGGTGGTGGACCAGCCCCTGGACGCAGTGTACAGTGAGCTGGTGGACAACATGGAGCAGATGGGAGACTGGAATCCCAACGTCAGAGAAGTCAAGGTAGGAAGCGCATGTCAGACCTGTCTCAGCCAGGGGTTCACACACACGTGCTGCTTTGTCTGGTGGCAGAAGGGCCGAAGAGTCACTTTGCCCGTCCCAGCAGGAGCATGGGCATTTCTCCACCCGTTCTTCGGGAAATGAGAAGCCAGACTTTGTCTTGTCCGCTTCCTACTGCAGCCGCAGAGCTCGTTCTGCAGTCATCACATTGCTGCTGCAGCAGAAGTGAGTCTGTAACAGCTTGTCAGCGGATGGAGGGTTGTCTGTTACTTGTTCTGTAGGGAATGCACTTTGCAAGGTAGTGGGCCAGCTCTGTTGTTAAATTTGTACTGTTACCGGAGGAGAAATAGCACAGTACTCCAACGTGCAGGGAAGA